TTTGATACCAATCTCCCAGTTTTCACTGCCCGCCCGCCACTGCCCGCCACCTGGCTTTTCCCAAGCCTTTGACTTAGGAGCTTTTGACTACGTGCTTTGACCAGAGTTATACATAGTTCCAGGTGTTTGGATCCCTCGAGCATGTGTGTTTTTCCACCCCCCGCCGAACACCGAAACATGTCTCTCCATCGTTCCACCTCACCCGGGCGAGACGGTCTCGCCCGGAGCCGTCGGCTCTCAGGCCACCCGTGGCGCGCTTCTCGGCCTTCGACGACCTCTGCGAGCCCCCGGCGAACCCGCAGGCGGGAGCACCGGTCGCCGGGGTCGCCGAGGGCCTCTCAAGGCAGGCGGACGCATGGACGGCGTGTTGTGGCTGTGGCTCTGGCTCGACTTTGGGAGGAAGACGATGGTGTGGTAGGAGAATTCGATGGACATCTGGAAGAGATGGTTTGTTCATACCCCAATGATCGTCAATCGTCCGCTGCAGCGAATCAACAATGACGAGGGTTTGGCCACTTATATACGGAGCTGAGGAGGCATGGCGATAAGAAGGGAGAGCTTCTGATCTACCTGATTCCCAACCCACGCACTTAGTATTGAAAAGAGGCGGCGGTGGCTTCTACTTGAATGTTGTGTTTGCCAACTGCTTCACGTTCATACCATTCTGATGATGAAGAGAAAGACATGTTGACACACACACACAGACACACATGAAGACTTTGTGTTTTCAGGTGGGCCATGGCAGCGTGCTGGGAAGCTGAGCCGATGCAGTCTGGATGTTTTATGGACCTTTGCACGTGCTTTTGGTTCCGCGAAAGTCCTCTCAATGGCTTCGATTTGGCGTCAATGAAGTCTTGAAGAGGCGATGCAGACTCTTTCGGAGTCGATTTCGCGATCATCCGCGATTCATCCGCGATCCATTTTCAGGCCACAGCCACAGCAGATGCCTGTGCCCGTGCAACCGGGAGGGTCGCAGAAGCCGGCCTGTTTGGAGGGCTGGCAGAAGCTTAGATGTGAGCATTTCGCCCTATTTCGCATGTTGGAAAGCTGCTGTTCTCCATGGGTCTCCAAACATCTGCTCTTTTTTTCCACCTCTCGCGCCGTTTCTCGCGACCGGCGACGACGGCGACGTCTCGCACGGATGCGATGCGATGCGGATGGAGTGCCGATGTTTCGTCCAATGCCACGAAGCGCCCTGGACACGAAGCACCATGTTTAAAAAGTAGCCTAGCTTCCGAACAACCATGACCCGTATGGAAGGGTCAGATGCGCGTGATCGTCCGCAAGTGAGAGACCGAACAACCATTGTTTTACTAAGGATTTTGATCAACCACCGAGAGTCGATTTGTTGGGCCGAAATGGCACCAAAAACGGATGGGCGGCTCACACCGGTGCCAGGATGCCTATGCCTGGCATGAGCCTTTTAGGCCCTCAACAGCTGCAGCAGATGAGCCCTGAGCAGCTGGGAGCTCAGGATCAAGTTGGGTGTTTCAAATCCATCGGGTCCGGGAAGTTTCAATAAGTTGGGGAATCGGGGAACTGTCAGCATGTTGAAGTTCATGATGGGCATATTGATCTAAAGGGCCATGACATGATGTCGGATGTTTTCCGTGGATTTCGCAGCTTTCAAACATCGACACGGGGTTTGCGAAGAAACAATTCAGGAGGAGGCACTTCCTATAGGAAGGGAATTTTGATTCAACAGAAGTTCCTCCCACCTTTGCAGGCTCATGCAGTGGCAGATGATGCTGCAGAGCCAGATGCAAATGCCCCTTGTTCTTCCGCACGGAACTGTGGACACACGGGGAGCTGGCTTTTCAATGGCTTTGAGGAATTTACTTTCAGGTGTCATAGTCACTGCTTCTCACTATTTCGAGTGCACATGGTGCCTGAAAACTCAGAAATGATCCCTCTCCGAGTGGTCAAAGGAGTGAGAAGTTCTACAAGTGAGTCCGCAGAACGCTGCGCCTTTCCATGGTCCATCCTGGCCTTTTCCATGCTGCCTTCGAAGCTGTGTTGCCAGTTCCAAGTTGGATTCACTGTTAGCTGAAAGTACTTGTAAGATCTTGTAAGCCTTGTTTTGACCAGGACCGGTGAAACCCTTGAAGGGATTTGGTTTGGCTTCAGAACGAAGCTTGGGAAATGGGGCCCAAGTGTGAGATATGGTGAATTCATTGCAGCCAGGCTTTAGTTCGGTTCACAAGTGTTTCAAGTTACATGGGGGGCCTCTCCAGGTGCACTAAACCTGCCCTTTGGAGGGCGCTTCGCGGCACTGTGCCGCGCCTTCCACCGACGCCAGGGTGATGCAGGTGTTGCAAAGCAAGCAAAGCCAGATGGCACCAGCCGCTCGGACGGACGAAAGAAGGAACAGATGGCACCAACTTCCACATCAACATGTTCCTCAACACTTCAACAGTCAGCTGAATCGTCTTCTCCGGTCGACTATATAGTCATGTCATGACTGGACAAGAAGGACACATGCCGTCCAAAAAGCCGTCCAAAAACCGTGGTTCCTTTTTGTTCTTTCGCCGTCCGCGCGGCTTCTCGGTCGTCCGAATCTCCCCGAGGTGCCTGGGGCGCCGCCAAACGCGCCGGGCGAGGGTCCCGGTCAATTCAATGCGCGGAGCCCGGTCAATTCCACCATGGAGACGCAACGGGAAGCCTGAGAACCAAAGGAGGGATCTTTTTCATTTCTATTTTTAAAGAGATTCTAGTGGCTTGATGTGGCTTGCGGATCACTTGCAGCCCAGGATTTCCGAGCTGTCTGTTCCAATGGTTTGTGAAGGGAACCCGTTTGCCCGTTTGCCACCTTGCTTGGCACGTAAGGATTTGGTCAATGCCTTCCAGCAGAGGAATGTGCCAGCCAATGTGCCCCAGGTGGGACCAAGTTTCGGGGAGCCGAGGATGGGGTAGGGCATGCTTCTTATGCAAGAATCTGGACCGGACCAAACCTTTTCAAGTCTGAATCACATTCTTCGTAGCTGGACAGAACATCAGTTTTTTTTTCATGTCAAATGTTTCCGTTTCGAGGCAGCCGGATGTGCAGGCGCGAGCTTTCAAGAGCTTTCTGATGTCATTTGATGTTGTTTGCTGTTTCTTTTTTCCAGAGGATTCATATCAAGGATCTGTGACGAGGAACGGCCCAATTTTGCTGGGCCTTTCGCAGTTTTTTTGCAGCGCACGCCCCCAATTCCAGCAATTGGAGGGTGCACAACACCCGGAATCCCCCGTTTCATCCATTCCATGGACTGCTGGAACGCACGTGCTGTGAACTTAATTCAAGAGAAATTCAAGATAAGTGAACGATCCCTAGAGAAGGACCAGTGCGCGCTGAACGGTGTTAATGTTTAAATGTTTTTTGGGTTCCAGCGCAGGCGGCTATGCGGGTGCCCCAGTCCCGCAGGTGAGTTGACTGAGAGGTCAAAGGAGTGGGGATGATCTCATCGAAGCGGCGAGGATCGAGGGTTTTCACGGGTGTTTGGAGTAATTTTCCCAAACCTTCTCCCCGGACCATTTTTGGGGTGGGCCCTTGGCTTTTGAGGACAAGTCTACACAAACATATTCAAACAAACCTACTGTATCCTACTGTGTTTGAACCTTGAGGTTTTTCAGAAGCAAGACACTTTTCCAAGCATGTCGTCCACAACATACACCGCCCCACACCAGTTCTTCGCTCGAGTTCATAGGGATACAGCGATACAATGCCTTGCTTTGGGACGAGATGTAGCGCAAAGATGTGATTTTTTCGGTGCGAAAACATGTGGGCCATTGTGGGCAGGTCTGAAAAGGGATAAACGAATGGGATTACACTTCAATTTCATCTTCTTCTCCTTTTTCTTGTTTCAGAAGCTCGTCCGTGTTAGAAAGGCAGGAAGGCTTCAAGAGCATTGTGCCTCCCCCGACGCGCGAACGAACCTGGCTCGTGGGAGGCATCTCCGGCCCCAGCTCCTGAGTCCGGAAATCCGTTTGACATGTTTTAGACGGTCGCAGAGAAGCATGGCGCAATTGATTTGGATGCGTGGAGCGGATGGATAAGAATAATCCTTCACACTTCTTGTTGACCAATCCCAATGAACGATTGAGATGGTCATGTTCCAGAACTAGCAAGGCTTCTTTTGCCCCATTGCACTTGAGATCATAACTCCTTCAACTTGCTGTAAGCAGATTAGTGTAGACTCCCGCCATGCAATCCGCAAGACCGAGCGTGCAGCGGCACATGTGGAGTTTGTTGGAACCGTGATGGGGGGAGGTGATGGGTATGGCGTTGAAGACCCCTGCTTAAGCGCAGCACAATAGGCACCTGGCAGTCGGTTGTGTGTTGTGTCACCTAGCAGCATTTTCAATCCAATGGGTCAGTCAAGGGATGTCAACAGTAGAAGGAACATCATTACAAAAAAGGCAGAGTACGCTTGCTCCAGAAGAGCTGGAATCAACATGTATCAACTTGCTTTGGCGCTTGCCGGTATGGTCACGGTCAGATTTGTCAGAGTCGTTTGGCCCCCCCCGCCATCAGCTAGGTGACCTAGCTTGGTGGAATCTGATTCGCCCCCCTCGGCTTGGCCCCTCACTTGGTTCCGTTCATCCAATGACTGGCGTTTTCTCGAGCAAACGCGGATTCCGCCTGCACATTGCGGAAGGCAAAAGGCAAAAGGCCACCGAGCAGTGCGGGGGGGAGGTTCCGTCTTTCTTCATACAGGACTGTCGGAGTATGGGAAGGGCCATGATTGACCCGAACGCGACATCTTGCGACGGATGGTGGCTTGATTTCACATGATCAGTGCCTTGTGCGGTGGGATTGGCTTGACCATGACAGCTTGAATTGTGGGACCAGCTCATGAGGAACAGCATAAAACTCGAGCTTCAAGACAGGATGGACCTCACTTCAGCATCATATAACCCCCCCAAAAGGGGTCGAGCAAGACCCGGTCCCGAGCGATCAATTCGCTTCTCCGAACATCCAGAGCCCAGCGAGAGCCCAGCGAGAGCCCAGCGAGAGCCCAGCGAGAGCCCCGAGAGCTCCTTTTCGTTTTTTGCGAGTGTTAAACCTACGCCATGGCGCCGCCCGAAGAGCAAGTGAAGGAACTGCCGCACCGCCTTTCGTCTTGGGAGCGGTCTGAGGACTCGACCGGTCTCGACAGGGAACGTCGGCGCTGCGTCGCCTCACGTCGGCGCGCGCGCGCGCAACTGCTCGCGAACTGGGAGGTCCTATGGAGGTCTCATTTCTTGAGCACGCTCGCGGGGCGTGCCGCAGTCCTTCTTTTGGAACTGCTGGGTGGTGTCAGAGGGTTATCAGATCATGTTGTATCAATGTTCGGCTTCTTCGTCCTGGTGACATCTGCCGTTTGTCTTCATGTCGTGCGCCTTTCGAATCTTTAATGTCTGGTGTTGGATTCACTGGGATCGGGAGTGCGGAGGAAAAGAGTGTCAGGGAGTCCAGAAAGTGAGCTGAAGTGCACAGACATCCCTAAAACCCCCCAAAAACAACCCAATTCAACTGCTGCCAAAAACAGGTCTGCGTCTGCCAATTGCATGCCTCTCATCTTATGAATAGAACGCCAGGCACGATCTCTTTCCATCATGCGGCCACTGCAATCCGGAATCCGAACTTGCTGCTTGATACGGAGTCGCTGGAGTAGTATCGTTCTTGGCCCTGACCAAGTATCGGCCATGCACTTGAGTTCCGCAGCGTAGGACCGGACTGGCTTGAGAGCTTGCTCGGGACTAAAGATTGGTAGATCAATGTCTAACACCCCCACCCCCCCCTCCCCATGTGATGAATGATTGATAAATCAATTGATTCGACCCCCCCCCTGAAAAGTAGAGCCTACCTGTACAGGGTTCCACTCCAACAGCTGATATAGTGTGTCCATGCTTGACTGGCTCAAGGCTCAAAGAGATATAGGATAAGACTCTGCGTGAGTAAAAGACACTAGCGGTCTGCACCTCTACCGTGTACGCCCTAGTCACTCTTTCAGTGGTAGCGGAGCAGTGATCCTGGAAGACCCAGGTGAGCTCCTTTCCTAGGCATAGAATTGCTTGTGGGCAAACGGCCATGGATTGGATTGACGACTGGGAAGAGCCTGATGCGGATGTGGCTTATGAGCCAGCAGCCTATGTGAATAGGCATGTGAGAAGAGAACCAGCAGCGATAGCTATGACAACACAGGTCACTACAAAGGTGCCCCCATCTTATGATGGAAAGACTTCATGGTTTTCCTATGAGGATGCCATAGACGATTGGTGTGATATCACCGAGCTGGAAGATGAGAAAAGAGGACCAGCATTGAGAAACAGATTAGAAGGAGAAGCAGCTGTATACAAGCGTGTTTTAGACAGAGATGCATTGAAGGCAAATGATCCACCAGGAGCCGGCGTAGAATATTTCAAACGAGTACTACGACCATATTTCGTGAAAGGATCAACCAATGTATTCCTGTATAGGTTCATGCAATTCGTGCGCTTCAATCGAGGATCAGCTGACATGATGAAATGGATGACAAGATTCCAGATTTTACTCCAAAGGCTTATGAGCAGTTGGATGGACATGTTAGAACCAGTCACTCAAGCACATCCACAAGTCCTAGCTCAGATGCAGGCAGATGCAGCATTGACTGGAACAGCACCAACGGCAGAAAGGATTCAGGAAATCATGCAGACCATCAATGGCAACATGAGGACCTTTCATCAGAACGAATTTCCTCTAGGAGAAAATCTCATTGCCTTACTCATGCTGTCACTTGCAGATTTGTCTCAGGACCAGCGAAACACTTTGACTTCATTGATGACTCATCGTGGCAGGGTCCTGCAGCAGTATACTACAACAGAGTTGAGGACAGTGTTCATCGAGATGTTCTGCGCAACAAAGACTTCAGTAGACAATCCTTTGATGCAGCCGACAGGTGCTGGAGGTAGAAGATCATTTCTCGTACTAGACGAAGGAGAACTCGATGGTACATTTGGCTATTGGGCCGAAGATGAAGAAGATGGAACTGAAGGATTTCTAGATGCCCTGGACGATGTCTTTTGGGTATATGATGATCAAAACTTCTTGTGGTTCCAAAGGAGATTCCAAGGAAGAAGAGCCAGAAAAGGCAAAGGAAAAGGAAGAAGAAAAGGAAAAGGTAAAGGAAGATCAGGCCGCAGATTTTTCAGACCTCGTGGAAAAGGAAAAGGAAAGAGACGAGGTAAAGGCCATTTTGCTGATGAGCAACAGACAACTTTTCCAGATGAATACTTTGAAGAGAATCCTTATGAGGACACTTGGGAGTCAAACCAAGTAGCATATGATGCCATTCTTGCCGAGGATATGAATGACTATCTTCAAGGAGGATATGACGATGCCAATGACTTTTGGCAACAGCTTAAAGAAGCATGGTTTTCCCACAAAGGAAAAGGAAAAGGCAAGAGAAAAGGCAAGAAAGGAAAAGGAAAAGATAAAGGAGATGGCAAACAAGATGCAAACTATGCAAATCAACAACAGCCACGTTCTTTGCCTGCACCTTCAAGATCTTCACAAGCATCAGGAGGTCAACAAGGTTTCTTTGCACATTGTGTGACAGCAGCAGCTGAAGTCCATGACAGTGAGGTGGACTTGCTGTCAGGCATGATGACCTCATGTCAAGATGAAGCTGACTGCGCGGTCAACAATGGTGAGACGATCTTCAATGGCATGAGTGCCCCTGTGAGGTACTCTTTGTCAAAGGAGATGCTCACAAAGGCTCCTGATGGCTTTGCGCTTATGAGCGCTGAGGAAGAAGTGAAGGAGATGCAGGCCATTTCATTTTTGACTGAGAATCGCTTCCCGCCGACTATTGCAATCCTGGACATTGGATGCACTAGAGCTATGGGATCAAGGCGAGCAGTCGACCATTTTTGCAACTATGTCGACAATCACCCAGATTGTGGATTGTGGTACTCTTTTGAGGCTACCAAGAGCAAGTTTTACTTTGCCAATTCCCAGAAGGCTACTTGCTCTCAGAAACTGGTGATTTACATGTATGATCGTGCATGGACGATCCACCATACAGAGTTCGACATAGTGGAAGAAGGAGAAGTCCCTTTGCTTATGAGCTTGCCACAGATGAGGAACTTAGGCTTTGAACTCAGGCTGACACCTCAACATGCTTATCTGACATCGGTGCCTCTTGGTATCAAATATTTGGAGTTGAAGGTTGCAGCCAGTACTCATCTTGTCTTGGACTTCCAAGATATTGCATGGTATCTGTCTGACGTGAATTTGCAGACTCGGCGCGAGAAGAGTTTTTACTCTCACTTCACTCACTATGAATATGGTCATATTTCTGTTGACCACAATAGTGATGAAGATGTAGCTGAACATGCATATCCTGTGGTTGACTACTGGGAAGTAGATGTTCACAAGAGAGAACTGATACGTCACCACAAGGATTATAGGAAGATTCTTTTTCCAGCAACTAAGTCCTGTCCTGTAGACACTGACTTGCTGGAAGACTTGCGACTGACAATCATCAAGAAGAAAGAAGGTGGAGAAGAGATCAAGAAGCAAGATGATTGGCGCAAGGAAAAATGGAAGGACCTACAAATTGGCTATGAATGGCGTGGTAGAACAATTTTTAAGTTCAAACCAGATGCCAAAATTCCAGATCTAAAGATCAGGAAGGCTGGCATTGAGCACCGTGGCATTGGTGATCCCGATGCAGTGGTGCGCTCCTCCTCAGAGAAGGTTCCCATTGCAAAGGACAGGGGACCAGGCTTCTCGTCAGAGAAGGAAGGTGCACCATCAAGTGCCGCGGAAAAGCCCGTGCCGCCAAAGTTTCGGTATACTTCCAAGGGTTTTGATCCATTTTGGAAGGGACACAAGTCGAAACCATCTGAGCCTCAGAATGATTTAAAGGGTGATGATCTTGAGGAGTATGCTCCCTCAGAACCACCTGAGAGGCCAGAAGGTGAACTTGTAGAAATTCCTAAAGCATCAAAAGGACCATCAAGTGATAAACATGAACCACTTGAACCAGGTGATGGCGCTCTTGAGCCTAGGCGGATTTCAATCCCATTACCTGGTAGTGAAGTTGTTGCAATGACACCGGCATATAGGAAGATGTTACAGAGACTGGAGGACAAGGTAGAGCTTTATAAGCTTCATGTGAAGCACTACCATATGAGTCCTACTCAGTTTCGTAGACGTGTTTCTATGTTGAAGCTTCCTGACTCTGTTTTAGAGAAGTATGAATCAGTTGTCAGGAACTGCCGTGTTTGTAACACTTCAGTGGCACCTCCGCCGCGAGCCAGAGTCTCCGGTATTAGAGCTTCATGTTTTGGTGATGTTGTTTTTGCTGATCATTGTGAGGTTGAACTTCACAAGAACAAGTATATCATCTTACTTGTTCTTGATGGTGCCACAAATCTTCTCTGGGCTACGGCACAGAAAGACCTCATAGATCAAACCACCATCCAAGCATTGAGGCAATGGTCTGATGAGAACAACTGTGTTCCAAAGGCCATCGTAGGAGACGAAGCCTTTTTCACAGATGCTTTTGTTGAATACTACAGGTTCCATGGTATACAACAATGTCCTTGTGGGCCAAGAACTCCTTGGCCGAACCGAGCAGAGACAGCTGTACGTTTGTTCAAACGTATGTGGCATGTTATGAAGGTAGATCTGGATGACCCACGTTTTCGTGGTGTTACGGTCAGAGAAGTGGTCAAGAAGGTAGTTTGGGCGAGAAATTGTCAGTTGACTATCAGTGGATATTCACCAATAGAGATAGCAACTGGAAGACGTCCACCAGATCTTTTTGACCTTGAGACCGCAAGCCCTGAGCAATTGTCAGCTAATGCCGCCGCACAAGATCGTACAAATTTGGAACTACAACGTGTGGCTTTGAGAGCTCATCAAGAAGCACGACAAGCTCAGGACCTTCGAGCAGATCTTGCAAGAAGGACTATGCCAAGCGACGGTCCTTATTTCCAAGGAGAGAAGGTTTTTGTTTGGACTCAGGATTCATCAAAGTTCAAGGATAAAGGACGTTGGGTTCGTGCCACAGTACTTGGACAAGAAGGAGCTATGGTCCAAGCCAACACTGGTAAGGCAGTAGTACGTGTGAAT